GAACTATGCAAATGCTATCTATTATTATTGTTACTGTTATTGTTATTATTATTATTATTATTATTATTATTATTATTATTATTATTATTATTATTATTATTATTATTATTATTATTATTATTATTATTATTAATTTACGGACACATCTAGGAGGTGTTTGTTGTCGAAAATAAATCTCAAGGGAAATATAGTCAAACCTGCTCTAACGGCTAAATGTATTTTAAAAAATCACCTGTACAAACAGCCATAAAAATGACCTTATACATTTGCGAGTGCCGTAAAACACTTACCACCCAAAACAAACAAACAAACAAACAAACAAACAAATAAAACAACATCAACAACCAACAAAAGCCCAACAAAACAAAACAAAACAAAACAACAACAAAAAAAAAACCAAAAAAAAAAAAAACCCACAAGAAAAACAAGGAAAAAAAACCAAACCTACACACCCACACAAAAAACCCAAACCCACGAACACCTTCCATTTTCTCCCTTGCGTATTTTTCATCATTGTAATAACACTGTGTACGACTACGACGGTCACCGTTTCTCATGGATAGTGAATGGCCGCAACAGACAGTTGCGAATGCATTTCACTCTTCTTTACTGTATTATAACAATGTTTGCCGGCCTGGGCGATACTACTAACTAGATCTAGTGGGAATTGACGAGTAGTAGGCTACATGTGTATAATATACATGTATATTCAATGATTGGAAATGCGTGCAGCGCACGCACACACACAATGTTGCCAAGCGTGATTTTTAAAGGTCAATTAATTTTGAGTGACCATATTATCTAGGTTGTCTCTTAACATTGGTGAAATATTAATGTGTCAGATGATGCAACATTTATTAAGTTTTAATTTTATATTGATATGCTGCGCAAGTGAGTGGGTAGTGCAAGGCTTTAACACAATGATTGGATCATTACGTATTCAAGTTTATTTTGGACGCCACTGTATTTTTAGTTTTAGTAGAGGCTTTACGGCGCTCGCAACTGCATAAGGTCATATGAGCGCCAGAAGATTAGAGGTGTTACAAGAGAGTAACAAACATAAAAAAGAAGGAGGGGAGATAAGGACGATGGATATTTGATAGGAAAGAAGAAGCAAACCACACCAGAGCACCTGCCAACCACCCACACGCCACTATATTCTAATATTGCTCCTTCTGTTCTCAGCTACCTGTCAGTTTGACGGAGACATATTACGCCATAGGTTTCGAGCCACTCATCAGAAGCCCGGACATCATGCATCACATGATCTTGTTTGGTTGTCCAGATCCGGTCAACGAATCCGTGAGTAGAATAAGATGTTAGAGCCTATTATACTTCTTAATCCTATCCGTACGTCGTGTTTTACTATCGTATCCATACGACATGGGGAACTCTGTGCCACAACTTCCCAAAGAGGAAATTTACTCGTTAATCCGATTCGTACGCTTTGCTTAGCAGTCTGTCAAAATGATTTTTTTTGAGAAATACTGAAAGTTTCAAAGAGATCTTCGTACTAGAAGTATTCTAAAATATAAAGAATAGAACCCCGGGGGTACAAAAGGACCCCAGGGCGTACAGATGGAGTTACGATGTAAAAACAATTGACAATTTATATCTTAACATAGACATCAACTAAAGTGTGAACCGTACTGTGCCAGAAATAGGCCCACAACAATAATACAGCACTACAATGTGCTCTTGAAACCAAAATTAGTGAAAAAGTATAATGATTAGACATCATCATCAATCATCATCATCATCCTCAATCACATGTCGCGGGGACCAGGTTGAGCTAGCGAGACTACAGCCGGACCATCGTTGGAGTATGAGATGGTATCAGAACTTTGTGAATGAAGAGCTCAACCCACGTTGCAACAATGAAAAGGAGGATGTCAAACATATGTTCGAATGTCCAGGAACAATTGCAACTCGAATGGGGAGCTCAACCCAGGTTGCTGAAAATGCAACAATGAAAAGGAGGATGTCAAACATATGTTCGAATGTCCAGGAACAATTGCAACTCGAATGGGGTTATTTGGACGAGTGGAAGCTCATTTAAGTATAATGACAATGGAGCCGAAAAAGAGCCTCGCTCTCGATCGGAGAGGGGGGAGAGTCTTGCTTGATTTACAGACAAAAAAATATTATTTAACATGTTTAAAATTTGTTTTTATTGGATAGGCTCGAAGCAGAGTAGGGGGGAGAGTCTTGCTTGATTTACAGACAAAAAAAAAAATTACTTAAAATGTTTAAAATTTGTTTTTATTGGATAGGGGTTTTACGGTTACATGTGGTTACCAGGCTGGACGGAAGTGACTTAGTGCGAGCCAGGCCAAGGGGCTAATCACAAAGAAATCGATGCTAGTTTAGCAAGAGTATCAAAATCTCTACGATTATACGAGTGATCTAGCTTGCGCCACGACGAGAGGAGCTCTCCTCGCAAAATTATCGAACAAATGGCCGCCGAAGTTTGGTGACTTTTAAAGCTTGAGTCTCCTTGGAAACGACAAATTTACATTTCTTGGACCTGTGATCAACGTTTTTCTATAAAACCTACTCAGCAATGTTTTTTGAATAGACATAAAAGGTGTTGAGCCCAAAAGAAAAAAAAATGATAACAATTGTCACAAGAGTGGAAAAATGCCACATAAATATTCATATTATTTTCCACTAAGTCCGTCCTGGAGGTTTTCTCCGCCTTACATGTATTTGATTTTTGACTTATCTCTCAACCTTTTTAGACACCCCACAGGTGTGGAGGGGCAGATAACCAATGCCGCAGTTTCCTGGTGCAGTGGTCCATGGGCATCGATGGGCCCATCTGCTCCCCACCAGACACTGGTATTCGGTTTGGGCTCAATTCCATCCAGTCGATGGCACTGCAGATTCATTGGAATAACGCCAACCGTACTAGTAATCTAACAGGTGTGTTTTCTGTCTATATGTACACCAACACCCTCCCCCTCCGAGTAAGCCATAATTACCAGTAAGCACAAGTTATTAATCATTATGGAGCATTAGGCAAATATGTATGACCCCCTCCCCCAAATTAAACAATAATCACCAGTAAGTATGTATGTCTGCTTGTATCTTTCCTTATCTATCTGTCTCTCTGTCCTTCTTCGTATCTGTTGGTCTTTTTATCTCTCAGTATCAATTTGTCTCTCTCTCCCTGTGTCTGTCTTTATCTATCTATCTATCTATCTCCCTCCCCATCCCCCCTCTGTTTCTCCCCCTGTCACTGACATTTGTGAGTCCCGTTTGCCTGTCTGGTATTTGTGTCCTTGCCAAGCACATTTACAGACTTCAGCATAAGTTAAGGACCACTTGCAAACTCTTTGAGTGGTCTTCCTAGGTCGACCTGCACGCAGGGCCCCGTTAATTAAGTGCGGGGCCCTAGGCTGTCCATGAGCCGCGGGGCCGGGGCCCCTCGATGACATTGATGCAACTACTACCGCATTGTAACCCGTACTGATTCAAGCTATACTGTAAAACGTGATTAGATATGTAGGCCTACCGGTATTCACCAATAATGTGAATTAAGACGACGACAAGCACATTTATAGATCTATTTCTGTTACAAAGTATGAGGCAGCCGAAACCTATCAGCAGCAGCCACAACAACAGCAACAGCGGTAGCATCAACATCCTTCTCCTCAACATCAACAACAACAATGACTGTAAAAACAACAGCAATACAAACAACAAACAACAAACAACAATTCAACAAGAGGACAATTTTTTGTTGTTGGAAAAACGTTTTTTAAACGTCCTGTTTGCAAGCGCGGTGCCCCCTGAGGCGCGGGGCCCTAGGCTACAGCCTAAACAGCCTTACGAGTAACGCGGCCCTGCCTGCACGTGGGCGTTCTTGGATTGATCCAGTGGCTTGATGGCACTGCCTCAGGCAGACAAGGACAGAGTGTGACACTGCAAGCCTTCTGGCAACTTCTTATGTCCGAACTCCATCAGGCAGCCATGCCATAGCCCTGATACGATCAACATCTCTCAGCTTTCATTTAAGTGGCACGTTTAGCAGAACACTAACTCATACTTTTAAAAACAAACAAACAAACCAAAATAAAAATCCAAATGAACAGTAAAGAAAGAAACAAACAAAATAAAAGCCAAACAAACTGTACAACTGTCTCCAGATACATCTGGCGTCAGGGTATTTTTCACGCAAAAGCCACAGCGTTATGACGTCGGCAACGTTCAAGTCGGTCAGAATGACCTGGAAATTCCTGGAGGAAGAAGTCGCGTTGAGCAGAAGGGCAGCTGCAGTTCTGGGTGCACCAAGGAATGGCTGAAGGAGCCTATCTACTTAACCCGGGGCCACATCCACATGCACTATCTGGGTAAGTCGGTCAGATGTATGTATGTGAGTGTATAATATATATATACGTGCATATTTTGTTTAATTCATTCACACGTACGCACAGACAAAAACATACACGTGGGCACGCACACACGCGCACGTGCACACAAGCACAATAATGATGAATGATGAATGATGATAATAATGATGGTGATGATAATATAATAACAATAGTAATATGGTAATAATAACTATGATAATAATAATAACAAATACAAAATATAAGAACGCACAAATTTGTGAGAACACACACACACACACACACAGACAGAGAAGAACCCGCATACCTAGACACACTACACACACACACACACACACACACACACACACACACTCTCTCTCTCTCTCTCTCACACACACACACACACAAGCAATGAAATCCCCCCCCCCCCACACACACACACATGCATTCACACCCGTTTCGTGTTCTATCCCACTCGTGACGCATTCCAAGATTCCAAGTACATGTACACTCCTTTTCTTCTTTACTGCTGCTTTTTGTTTCCTCATCCTTACTATCGTCATTTTCCCTCAACCTCTTCTCTATCATCTATGTTTGTCACTCTCTTGTGAACTGCTATTTCAGGGGTGCCTTATAGTCGAAGTAGACTTTGTGCTGTTGAGGCTAGAGAAATGAGCAGAGTAAGCCTAATTCCCCGTTTGGACTTCTCTGTAGACATGATTCACCCCGTGGCGCTCATATGACCTTATGCAGTTGCGAGCGCCGTAAAACCTTACTAAAACTAAACTAAACTCTCTCTCTCTATCTCTTTCTCTCTCTCTTTACAGTCGAACCTGATCTAACATCCACCCTTATAAGACAATCACCTGAACAAACGGCCTCTTCCCTTTTACCACCTTACGTTTTTTTACGTTATGATGACACAGTGTAAGATGTCCACCTGTTCACGATGTCCACTTTTTTCCTCGACAAAGGGTGGCTGATCTATTTATCTATCCTATCTATTTATCAATCAATCAATCAATCTATTTATCTATCTATCTATCTATCTATCTATCTATCTATCTATCTATCTATCTTTCTATCTATCTATCTATCTAGGTGACGGCGGAGTGCTAGAGGTGGTGCGGGGCGGTAAGGTGGTGAGTGAGGCTATACGAGACGAGCACTTTGACTATAACACTCCTCCCGCTCACTACTTTAACCCTCCCGTGGAGGTGAGACCAGGTAAAGAGAGAGAGAGAGAGAGAGAGAGAGAGAGAGAGAGAGAGAGAGAGAGAGAGAGAGAGAGAGAGAGAGAGATAGAGAGAGATCAAAACGTCCGTGTCATTTTGCTAAGTAAGGATTAACTTTAGCTTACTGATTGGAGAGAGAGAGAGAGAGAGAGAGGGAGAGAGAGAGAGAGAGAGAGAGAGAGAGAGAGAGAGAGAGAGAGAGAGAGAGAGAGAGTTCAAAACATCCGTGTCATTTTGCTAAGTAAGGATTAACTTTAGCTTACTGATTGGAGAGAGAGAGAGAGAGAGAGAGAGAGAGAGAGAGAGAGAGAGAGAGAGAGAGAGAGAGAGACAGAGAGGGATCGGGGGGGCTGCGAGAGGCCCACGCGGTCATCAGAGGAG